CTGGCCCTGAAAACTCATAGGCAGAAAAAGCATGACACATAAAAGCACTTCCTCAGTGAAGTCGGCACACTCAAGCAATTGAGTGTAGTTGAATCAATGTGTTGCCGCTGTTGATTAACATCAAGCCCTTTCACAGGTTGAAAGCTCAAAGCTGGAATATATCCCCCTGTCCCCTGATAAGTTTCAGGGTTTCTGCACAGTTTTGGACAAGTGTAATTAGTTCGTGTTTGAAAGAATTTTGGAACTGGACAGGAACAAGGCTATGAGTCAACGTAGCTCTGCGAGACTGTACTCAGGCACAGCAGTGCTTTGAGCTATATGCTAGCATCAGCATGCTAATATGCTCACAGTGAAAGTGCTAACTGGCTGATGCTAAGCAGGTACAGGTGTCCCCATGCTCGCCATCTTTATTTTTCTTGTTAGCATGTTAACACAATATTAAGCACTAAATACAAAGCATAGCAAGCTCTGCAGGTATTTGGTTATAAATCACAATATTGGACAAATTAAAAATTTGACCTGATTATGGCGCTAAATGAAATCTTAACTGATCACCAAACATCAAGGTTCATCCTGAAGGGGACATGAATGACATGAATGTCTGCTTCAAATTTTAGGGTAATCCATCTAACTTGTGTCAACCTCATGTTGGAGCTAGAGGAAAAGTCAGTTGATCACTTAAGTCAATAAAATTCATATGTTGTCCTGACCAACATTCACATCCCTAGAGCCATGCCACTAGTATGTCTGAGTGTTGCTAGGTCCCTTTATGCATGACTAGAAGTGTTGTCATTTTGTTATATTTGTTGATTACATGTAAAATTACACACAGCTGTAGAACTGAACAAGTACCACCTGTAAGCACAGTGAACTACATGAGGCCATTTTTCAAAATTGTATTCAGCAGGAATCTTTGCTGCTGTGTTTCTGCATTTAACTTAATAGTAGTTTCTTGTCAATCAACCAGTTTTATGTCTCCTTTTTTTTTCGGACATTGGACAAGTTTCATTCGTATGCTCCACCTACTTAAAAACATCCCTGTTCACAATGGCTACCTGGTTGTTCTGTTTATTCCAAGCACAGCGCTGGAAACAGACTGAATATTGGTTGAATGACAACTATGGACTTAAATATAAAATGTTAAGGAACCAGTGTGAAGTCCCAGATCTCACCTTCTGACCTCTCCTTTGTTTTCAGGTTTCAGGCAGCACGGCGGGCTCCCTGGCCAGCTCCTCCACCCCGTCCACCTCATCGCGCCAGTACACACGGCAGCGCATCACTCGCGTCAACCTCAGGGACTTAATTTTCTACATGGAGCAGGAGAGAGAGACCGCCCACTCCCTCCTCCTTTACCGTGCCCTGCTCAAGTAGCCTCTGCTCCGCTCAGCGCCCACCTCAACCTCCTCCTCCTTCCCAACCACGTGCCTTCAGATCAGGTCTAAATGTTTCAGCTCTGTGTCTCCATATGTACTGTAGTGACGTTTGATGTAGCTTTTAATAAGAAGAGAGAGAGACAGAGAGAGAGAGAAAAACATACAAAAATAAAACTGTTGTTCCGTTTCTTCTCGGTTTAGATTCACGGTTTGTGGTTAGATCATTAAGTTTAAAGGCCATATCAAAATCTTTGTGTTGACGTTGGATTTTTTTAAAGGAACAAAGTGGTTTTGGTGTCGCTGGACTTGACCCAGAACTTGTTCCATGTATGTCAGGTAGCTGTTTATTTGACATTGTCAGCAGTAGCTTCAATGAACCACCTCAAAGCAAGGATTATTTTGGCAAAGAGAATTATCCCCTTATCACACCTCGATACAGCCTACGATATTCTCCACGAGCTATTTGTTGAACGTAGTTCAATGAATGTACTTTAGCTGAACTCAATAAATCAGAGACTTTACTGGTTTCTATCCCGAGACATCGTTTTGAAACATTAGGATTCCAAATAACAGCATCACATTCAATTTCCTCACTGTATGTGTAAATAGTTCGTATTGAATTATTTTACAGCATGTATATTTTTATCACATGTAAGCTTTGTAAGAAAAAGAATAACCCATGTGTCAATATTATGAAACCTGATGTTTTGTAAAACCATGTGCTTTGAATGAGTCAAAATTAGCCAGTTTATTCTGTTCACCTGTAGAGTATTTGTTATAAGGCAGAGTCCCCATGACCCTTCTGCAAAAGGTCATTAGACAAAATCATGGTCGCACCATGACACTAGTTTCTGATTGGCCACCCAGTGTCAGTGTTTATTTTATTTTTTAACCCACCCCAATGTGAACTTTGATTTTATGACTAGATTTTTGTACATTGTGTACTATCATGCTCACTTCTTCAAAAACCTACCTGGTATAGAAGGTTTTGGTGTTACTGTACTGTAGGTGGGGCCATGATGTGGGAGAGTGAAAACTCGGATCAAAACAGACATTCCTTCATCTTTTCCTCTCACTGTCCTATCTGCACATTATTGATGTTTGAAAAAAATAAGTTTCAAAATCTCAATTGTGCTGGTGAGCCCCTTCAGCGCCAGCCTACATTGGTAATGACTGAATGACAAAAGCACTTATTCGTTTGTATTTTGATTCACGATTAAGAATCACAGCTGTAGAGTCATGTTATAGAATGAAGCAGCCTAAAACTGATTTCTACTTCCTCCCATTTTGTTTTATGTCTTTGTATTACTGACTGAAGAGAGGAATGGGATAAAACGCCTGCTTTTTACATGTCGTACTGCATTGTCGCCTCTTTTTATTTTTTTTGTTTGTTTGTTTTGTTTTTTTACAAATCCTTATTGTATTATGTAATATTGTCCATTATGTATTTTTGTTTGTTTTTTCTATTTAACTAAATATCTTGGCCTCTATGCAGCTTTTCTTGTCATATTGAAATTTATTTAAATATTGGTGACATTTGGAACAATTGTTGTGCATTGTACATTTTGACAGCACTTTTTTTTATATCTATTTTACCTGACAACTGAAAGCTGTCACTGTATTATAGCAAAGAAATGAATCTTTTAAATAGTAAACGGTATTGCCAACTTCTGTCAAAAGACAGTTATTTTTAACAATTAATATATTTTCTTTTCGTTTTTTTTTTTTTGTTTTTGTTTTTGTTTTGTTTTTTGGATTGGCTTTTATGCTTAACACATTTTCATAAATTTTATCTCCAAAATACCATGTTTTAAAAACAAGCACAACAATATCGATTGTGGTGATTTCAAATGGTTTTATTAGTGATTTCTATGGTTTCTGGTGGTTTCACAGGAGGACATTTCTATTACTACTACAGCTTTTTAGCCAAAATATTAGGACAATATTACTGATGTAAACAGATGGGGGAAATAACATTTCAATGTAAGGATGATTTGTAAATATTGTTTACAAAACTATGTGTTTATTAGAACCACGTTATTTTTGGTAAACTCTTGTACATATCTTGAAAATTTCCTGTTTGTGTGAAAAAACAATACTTATGTATTTGTACCTATTTTGTAAAGGAATAAATAAGCTGTTTACTAAACTGAGCAGATGCTGACTTTGTGCATTCCTTCTTTTACTCTAACAGTGTACACACATCAGGATGTCGGTAGATACTGTTGAAGATACTGTCAGGAGTAAAGAAAATGTTAATTTTTTTTCTCTGAAATGACTTAATAACTAAGCAATATTCCCCCCTCTCTTCATTCCTTACTCTTTAAAAGGAAAAATAAGCTGTTATGTTGTTGCAAGACAGTTTTACCAAAGTCAACGACTAATTCAGCCTGCTTCATTTCCATTTCTAACATTGCACATGCTAAGTACAAACTGAGTCAAGCGCTGGTGCTCAACTATGAAAAGTCCCCCTAGGTTTCTGCTGCTAATTAAGCAGAAGCATTTTTGAAAAGACCAAACTGTTTAACTCAGTGCAAAATATTGGAGTTTGGGAGCATATTGGTTTTTTCAAGATCTCGGCCTATTCCTCAGTCCCTCTGGAGCTGCAGACTGATCTGGATTCAGCCCTGAAGACGACCTTCCTGCTTTGCAAAAATTAACAGGGAGCTTGCATATGCTTGGGTACAGTAGACTGGAAAGATTTCTTAGAGTTTTATCAGTTCAATTAAAGGACACAGAGGTCGACAAGCTGAGTACAGCAACCACATAAATGCTGCCATCATCTGCAATAAATGCACCTCTAGATCGTGACAGAGGTGACTGCTAAACTAAACCTTATTTTCCTTTATTTAAAAGGGCAGTTTACTCCAAAATCAAAAAGTACATATTTTCTTTGGACCTGTAGTGCTTTTTATCAATGCAAATTTCTGAGTGTTGGAGATATCAGCAGTAGAAATGTCTGCCTTCTTTTGCATATAATGGATCTAGATGGCACTCAGCTTGTGGTAGTCAAAGCGTCAAAAAATGTATTTGAAAAACTCTCTTTTCAGAAATCATGACCCGATAATTCAAGATAATCCACAGACCTTGTTGTGAGCAGTTTCATGAAGTAACTATTTTCTTCCTACCAAACTACACCTGCCAATCGTATCACTGCACAGAAGAAAGCATGCCTTTACTCACGGACAAGAGGCTCGTGCTGGTGATAGTGCGAGATGTAAACATTAATGGCATCATCCTCAGCTGAGCTGTAATGTTAGCTAGATCAGTGGTGCTAGGTGAGCTAGTGGTAGATGCATGCTGTCATCTGTGCAGTGATACTGTTAGTGGGTGTAGTTCAGTTGAAAGAAAATAGTTCCTACATGAAACTGCTCACAACAAGGTCTTTGGATTATCTTGAGTAACCGGGTCATGGTTTTTGGAGAGACATTACTGTTGAGTTTTTCAAATATATATAAATATATATATACATCTCTACTGCCGGTATCTCCAACACTCAGCAACTTACAGCAAAACAATCTAGATTGATAGATAGCACCACAGGTAAGAGGAAAAGTATGTATTTTTGATTTTGGGGTGAACTGTCCCTTTAAGGTCAATAGAAGAACATGAGACACACGTCAGATATACATCAGTACATCTTTTTATTATCGCAAATATGCAAGAAAAGTCAAATGGAGACACTGTAAATGAACACATGCCCTTTAATACCACAGTCTAATTGTTTTAAACACTTTAAATAATATACATTTGCACCTTATTATACCCTTTGAAATGTTTTAATCCATATGTACATAATGTAATGCTTTTAATTCTTTTCATTCTTTTTTGTGAAGAGGACTAAGAGGTCTCATAAAAACACGAGGGTCCCCGTAAAACCCAGAGTCCTGATAATTCAATATACAATAACTGTACAACTGACCCGCCTCAGAGGTGGCGTGAATGCCATGTGAACTGGCTGAAACACTGACCAGCACTTCATCTAAAAGAGTTGCATGTGTGAACATATCTGTGAAGTTTTCAGTCTTGTCAAGTTTGTCTGGCTTTGGAGTTAACCTGTTGAGTCGAAAGGGGCATCTCAGGTTTAGTTATTGCAGATAGAAACCCCAAACTGCAATTTTTGTTTCTTCGTCTCACTGTATGTGCAGGTTTGAATAGCAATTTATGTTTTTATCCTAATGTGCATGACCCCTCAGCTCTTTAAAGCTGATAAAAGCCCATTCTATGATTTCCAAATGCCACATCAGTGAGAAAATATGCCTTCTTTCCTTCCTCCCTGAAAAAAAAGTGAATCTTGCAGATGTGTGGTTTTAGTACAACATTGATTGTTTTTTACCCCTGTTTCCTCAAGAACTGACCCAGAAGAGTTTCCACACCTCGTAACAACTGGATCAAAGATCTGGGAATCAGCAGCAGAGTCAAGTCAGTAAGTTCTGAGTATGCTCAGATTTGACTCATCAGTTTGGTTTGTTGCAGTGTGGTCCAGCAAGCCACAGTGTAGGAGAGGTTTTGAAAAACCAGGGCATGGGGATGACACAGCAGCAGGGGGTGCAACCCGAGTTTCTATTGGCACCACTGAGCTGGGAGCCTTTGGGGAGGCGGAGGGGGGTGAGGAGCGCTGTGAAGAGCCCAACATGCCTTGGCACATGAAAGGCCTGGTTGACCATTCCCTTTGAGGCGACTGGATGCAAAGGCGCAGGCCACTGGCAGGTCAGAACAAAGATGGGCTTGATTGTGAGAGAGACCCCCGGGGTGGAGTGCGCTGGACTGGGAGCTACACTTACACCGAGCTCATCTTTATCCACTCATTGGCCTTGTTTAATCAGCGGCCATCCGGAGAGAGCAGATATTAGGACAACATGGTCAGAAGAACTACCACCCATTTTTAATGAACAACCAGTTTACAAAAACAACCCCAGTTTAACTCAAACAAATGCCAGAGCTCACAAAGATCAGAATGGACTTCTTTTTTTTTATCAGTCTTTTAGAATAGAAGAAACAGCATCTGTAAGTTACACACAAATACAAAGCATGAAAACTTGGCCTTTCTTGTTTCTATCTTTGATCCAGAAATGTTGAGAATAAGACCAAAAGAATGAGAGCAGGATAGAGTAAATGCCGCCCACTCGCCTCTTTGTGAATAAGACGCTGATGCTGGGAGTACAGTTCACTTTGGGTTCTGCCATACATACATGTGAAGAACCATCGAAATAATCTTGGCTTAGAAGTGACAATATTGAAACAAACAGAGACTGTCTCTCAAACTTTGTCTGAAGGTACTGTGAGCTATTCTTAACAAAACTGTGAAGACTGGAGGCCTGGGGAACAAATGTTGGTACCCTTCACACAGTTTTGCATTGCGTCTTTTTTAGCTAGACACTTACAGTGTCTAGCTAAAAAAGACGCAATGATGACGATGATGATGCCTTTTTGTTTGTACAATCAACAACATAGGCACCTTGTCTCCTTTGGTAGCTACGGTATTGGTTCTGTTGTAACTTTTGCTTGTTTTTAATGTTTTAATGTTCTGATAAGATAAACAGCTTGACTTGGCACTGGTCACTGGGTTCAAACAAGTGTTTGGTGGAAACAAGGCAGGGCAGCTCTGTAGGAGATGTTTAAGTGCAAAGAAACATTAAGCATTTAGAGTACATCTCGTGCTGATCATGAGACATACTGGTAAAGTCCACATTGGTCCTCAAGTCCTTAACATTCTAGCTCATCAAAACTGCAATACACTTGGAGCTTGTGCAAGTCAAACCTGAATTTAAAATTGTCGGACTTTCTTAAACTTCTGCTAAAAAGGAGCAAAGGTTTGTGCCCGGGAGAGAGAATGTGATCACAGACCCGAGATATGTTTTAGAGCTAATAAGCAGAAATTCCAGAGCACTTTTTTATGTGTGCTACACATTTGACTATAAACAATTTTGAAAGATCCAGGTTCTCTTCCATCCTCGTTTGAACAATGGGACTTTTTCCGGCTCTGAATGCATTGCCAGCCAGATCGCTTTAGCCACATAGCCTGCAGACATCTGAGTTTCTGCAGCTACTGCCAAGAAACGCTCCCTCACAAGCTCTCAAAGCCTAATGAATACAACGTTCATACATCCTTCATATTGGAGAAAGGAAAAAAGAGACATTAAAAATAATCCTATTAATAATAATTGTTTACACCATGTCATGATAAGAACAGCAAAAGGAGCAAGAAGAACATACTTTAGAAACAACAATGAAAATTGTAATAAACAATCAGTTTGGCAAACAATGCTGTTTTCAGTGAGGGCCCCCGCTGTCTGTAGCAAGGCCCTGTGGAGTGAGGTGGGATGGGGTTGGAGGGTCGGAGGGTCGCCAGGACTGGGGCCTTTTTGGGGACTCGTGAGATGGGATTATGTCCTCTTCCTGTCATCCTTAACAACGTCCTGTCTGCCAACGTTTTCTTGTCCCACAGCAGGCCAGACATGGGTCCTCATACAGAGACAGAACCGGATGATACACCAATGAAAGAGGGTTAGAAGGGTGTGTGTTTGTGTGTGTGTTTTGGGGAGTGGAATGAATTGGGATTATAGGAGGGGGCAGTTGTACCACTCCAAAAGGGTCAGTACACCTTTTTCATAAGAAGAAGAGGGAGAAATCAACCAGTCACGGTGCTAAAATGGTGCAAGTGAGCTGCTGTTGAGTCTATTTGTCGTCGTCATTGTTGTTTTCATCACAGTCCCAGATTCTTTGGGCGTTATTTAACATAATCAAAAGCTTTTGCTGCTGATGCTTTTTTTCCTTTGTTTGGTACTACATTCCCCTTAGAGTTCTGCAGAGCTGGCAAGGTTAACAAGCCTCTGCTAATACTTAGGTATGTTGGGGGTGGTTGTGGTCCTGTTGGGGCAGGGAGGGGGCAAGGGTAGGCTGGGTGGGGTGGTGTGAGAAGATGACAGGAGTACTGAGGGGGTTCGCTGTCCCTCTTCCCAAAATGCTCTAGTCCAGGGGTTCCTGTTTTATCCTGATGGGCGTGTTGATGGAAAGACTCCGCCGGTCCTCGCGACACAACACGTACTCACTGAACTGGGATGAGTCCACGCCACCTCCGCATGAGGCCGCCACGCTGAAACCTTTCTGGAAAAGACGCTCCAGAACCTGAAGACAGAGGGAAGAGAGAGGAGGAAATTTAAGACAAGGGCATTTATAATATATTTGTCATGTCAATAGAGCTAAATCGAACTGAGATGTATTACTGATAGAGATGCAAGTTTCAGGTTAAAAAAAAAAAGTTCAACATTTCAACACGTTTATTCACTTTCTCTACACTCTTATATATGATTAGTGACCTGTAGGGGAGCTTGTAGGTGGAATCTGATACCTTTGAATGGAGCTGTTTCCCCCCGTTTACAGTCTGTACACTAGCAGCTAACATAAGTTAGCCTGCTGCTATCATTAGCTTCATATTTAATGTACATACATGAGAATGGGCTCAATCTTCGCATCTAACTCTCTGCAAGAAATTAAATGAGCATATTTCCCAAAATGTCGAACTTCCTCTTTAAATGTAAGCAGTAGGCTATATGAAGGGGGACGCCATCCCTCTTGTTAGCAAAATGACCAAAATGCATCCCCACTGTTAACCTGCCATCCCTCTCCTTCCTCCCCAAAGACCCAGTGGCACTCAATCTAGTCCCCGAACAGGTGGACTGCAATCCCAGTCTAGATCTAGACACTATCCTATCCAGACCAAGACCTCTAACTGATAAATTTTTGACAATTATTAAATATTGAGAGAACATTTCATACAGCACAGTATTTCTAGCCTTTACGACACTGGTTTAGCAGCCAATTGCATTAATTGTAAAATACCAATCATAAACTAGCCAATCAAACCTTTGCATTCCAATTAGTGTTGCAGCTCACATCAGTGAGTGAGATACACACACAAACACACACACACACACACACACACACACACACACACACACACACACACACATGCACACACACACAGGGGAGAGACAAGATGAGAGACAGCTGGAGAAAAAAGTGAGTCAGAGTAAAGTTTCACACGGTGTATTCTATAGGACAGTGTCTGGCTCTGGTCTCCGACTGCTGTCCGCCTATTAATGACCTCAGGGGAAGAGATGGAGAGGGATGGAACCCAGGATGGCTGCTCTTCTTTGTGGCGTTTGCATGTTCTACTATGGGTTCTAGCAGGTTTTCTCCAGGTTACAGGCTTCCTCCCTCAGTCCAAAGACATGTAGTTGACTTTTAATTTCCCATAGGTGTGAATGTGTTTGCTGTCTGTCTCTACCTGTCAGCCCTCTGATAATATAGCGACCTGTCTGGGGTGTACCCTGTCTCTGACCCATTGTCAGCTAGGATTGGCTTCAGCCCCCCTGCCAACCTTATGAGTATAAGCGTTTACAGAATATAGACAGATGGGTATTCTAAAGAGAGAAAAGTAGACAGGGAAAACAAAGCTTTTAATCAAGAATGGGCAGACTCTTACGTGTTTATTTCTCCCGTGGGTAGTTAAAAGTTTGTAATTTTTATTGCGATAAATGTATTTCTGCTTGAAATGTGTGCCTTTAAAACAGAATCACACCACACTCAGATGTTTCCTCCATAAAACTAATGGTGACTTATAGGAAAGTTTAATAATATTTCTTTATTATTTTAAAAGTTTCAGGTGCATTTTCAACGATGGAATATCAGCAGCAAATTTGAGTGAGTCTTGGATAGGTACCACTGCACCATCACCATCCATCCTCACTTCACACTCCGATCTTGATCAGTCACAACATACACCATGTGTCATTAACCTCTCCCTCCTCCAATCACACATAGTGATGGAATAAAACCACAGGGCACTCCGACATCACACCACCTCTGCAATATTCATGGCGCTTGTGCTGGATTGGCTACTGAACCGAGGGCATGAGCTCAAAGGGATGAGGAGAGCAGAGTGTGAGTGAGGTGTGTTAAGGGGCTGAGTGGAGCTCAGCGCAGTGATTACTGGAGCTCCTAATTTGAGTAATGAGGCCGGGTTGAGAGGAGAAGTGAGGTCCGTGAGCGAAGGAGAATGCGACGTGTGGGGAATGAGGATAGGGAGTTATGGGTGATCCGTGTGAGGACAAAGTGTTGGAGCTGCAGGGAGAGAACAGGAGACAGGGATGCATGTTATCCCTCGAGTCTGGGCATTGATACACACACTAGTCCAAATGCAGATTCGCTCAGACACAAACACGTGAACTCCAAAATCACTTTTCTCTCCTCATCTGCTGTAATCCTTGTGGGATGTTTTTTTTTTTTTTTTTTGGAGGGGGTATATCTAAATCCCAGTGCGAGGAGTGCTGTGTATTTACTTATCCCCCCCGTCCTTTTTAATGGAGTGTGCAGCGCATGGAAATGAAAGGTCTCGCCGAAGGCTAACCCCTCCTGCCAGATACAGAGCCAGAGAAGTTCACACAAGCTTCTTCAGATGCCCAAACACACACACTGACACATACACTCATGGCACAGGGTGACCCCTCTAATTACAGGAGCAAGGGCCCCATCGGAGGGGTAAATTGGGGCATTTAGGCCTCCAGGTCGAGGGGCTGCAGCCTCCCCTGACTGGGGATTAGCACAACAGAAGAGAGCAGATAAATCACAAATGCACAGAGATGATATGTGAGCAAGAACGCAAACTTAAAAATGCAAATTATAACACACATATACACATACAAACTTGTTGAACAGACCTGAACCCCCCCTCCCACTTCCTGATTAAACTAAAATGTGGGCTGACATGCGGCTTGTAAGCAGAAAGGACCACTTGGAAAAGTTACCCCCCCCCCCCCTTTTTCGTCCTCTGGCCATACGACGACGACAAACTCTGTAATTTGTGAGACAGAAGGGGCGGCAGACAGCTGATGGTGAGGATGGCTAATTAAGAGACCTGCCCAAGCATCAAACACTCCCAAATCCATGACAGACGACGGAGGAGCCTAACGATTATGGAAATGATATTACATAGCCTTCTTTGATCATTGCATCACATTGCATTTTCCCCCATCATCTCTTAACGCATGTGGGACTGTCATGTTCGGCAATGAATTTGGTCACAGAGGAGAATGGTCTGATCAATAAAGATAGTCTGAAAACACTTTTATCATTAATGCATGGCAACACAAAAGACTTAAGGATATTATTATAGATAGCTAACTGATTCAAGGATACTGTAATGACTATAAGAAGCCATTAAAAATAAAAACTTCACATTGAATTTGACACAGTGAATTAGTGCCACAGGGGAATAAACAATACACTGAATAATTAAGATGTATCCAAGCAAAAGGTTTCGATGTCCACAGGACGATGTCCTGAAATCAATCCCAGCTGACGACAGAGAGTAAAGCACCCTCTTAAAAAGCTAAAACATGTCCTGGTGGTTCAGTTCAGCACAACATACTTGTGACTGCAGGCTCTCAGATCCCAGCTTATGTTGAACTTATGCAGATTTCTCTGCTTACTTTCCTGCCTCACTTGAGCGAAACCATAGCAAAATACTCCAACAGCGAGTTGCGTGTGCGCGATCCAATTGGTCGAAGTTTCATTCCGAGCATGATGATTTGGATGAAATGGAATTACAGCTAATTATTCCTTTTCATGTGCACTTCTTTGAACTTAGAGAAGACCTTTGGTAGAGTTTTGGTATTGCTGTGACCGTGCTTGAGGTATGTCACTACCTTACTGTTTTCAGAACAGGAAGTACAGCAGATGTGACAATACTTAACCAAAGTTTGCTAGTTCTACTCTGAACTTAAGCACTTCTTCTTGCGTTCTTGTCTTGTGTGTGAACGGAGCAGAGAGCTGAATAAAAGAATCTCTCTTCATCTCCAGTGATCCCTGTACATTTGAGACATAATAAACCATTCTCACTGTTACGAGGTCGACTTGGCTGCACAGGGATCTGCCCCCAAAACACACGCGCACCATTCAGCATATAACCATCTCACTGAGCTGCCACTCAATCTAGGGTCGCAAAGGGATGAGGAGGGGATATATCAGCCTCACTCCTCTAACCTCACAGCACTGTATATAATTCCAACACAGGGAAGATGGCAGGGCAGGAATCAAAGTGGATGAGGGCTGAAAACCGGAGCACGATGCAATATTGATGGCCACCGGAGTGCATATACTCGCATCACCTCTCAGGAGGCGCTGGAAGACATTTGCTCCTCATGGCACAGGGCTCGGTGCTGATTGACACGTATGACACACACACACTGAAGCATGAGATGGGCGCTGCACTCAGGGGGGTCGCTTTTGTTTAACTATGCACCGTCTTTAATATGTGACAAGGAGTGCTAACCGCAGTCTCTGCATCGTATCCTCCACTTATCGCAAGCATCTGGCATAAAACAGCCGAGAAGCTCCAACTCTTTCTAATTCTCCAAGCCATCTGCCAGCTTTTTTAAGGAATCACAAGCGACAAAAACACTTTGACAGTGTAATATATTCTTATAGCATTTGCAGCACATTTATCAAGTAGCTGTGTTTGTGGAGCTGACAGGACTGAGCTCGCCATTACAAATGGACAATTAGATTTAAAGCGCCTTTAAGTAGTGTGAATCCTCACAGTAATTTAATTTGGGTGACCCTCGTGGCAGTGCGACCCCTAACCCTGGCAGTGTAAATACCCACTGAGGCAGATAGGGAACAGAGATATTCAGGGTTAGGTCAGTCCTCTAAGGAACTGCAAGTACAGTTCAGACTAAACTGAGCAGACTAGAGCATGTGAGGATGAAGGATCTCACACTGCCTGACTCATTCAGTAACCTTTTCCTATTCTTTGTGGTCTGTGGTTTCTAGTTTACCAATGGTGGAACGTAACTAAGTACACAGAGTCATCTGTTGTAGTCTGAGGTACTTGTACTTGAGTCTTTCAATTTCACTCTACTTTACATAATAGTTACTGCTGTGCTTTGCACGTTCATATTTTACATACAAAATGAATGATCAGCTTTTAAAATGTGACACAGTTTTATAAATTGAACTACCTTAAAATGTGTGAAGTGTTATTATTTCCACCTTGAACAACTGCAACATTAAAATGCTGCTTACACAGTATTCCATCAGTAATAATAACCAGGTAATATAACATT